AAGTATGTCCTCTGGGGCGGCATGTATATGCAGTCAAAGGATGTGTGCTCTGTTTTTTGCCCTCTTCCTCTCGTGTGAGCTCTCGATTGCACGTGGACCCGCGTACATCATAGGCCACAAATGGCCAACCAGTGGGCTTATCTAGACCCTAGCTTGTGTCTTCTGAACTGGCTCCCTGGGCCAGATCCAAAGGGTGTAAGATACATTTTCTTCCTTGGCAAAACAGCTCAGCACCAGTCCAGACGCACCTTAGAGACAGGGGTCGTTTCGTAGAAAAAGAGCTAGGGGAACTCATTAGCATAACTCATTAGCATATGCCTCACCCCCTGACATCACCAGAAGTGTGTCATAAGGCCACACACCCCGCCCCCAACGGTCCTGGCCAGCGGGAGTGCAAGGAAGCCCCGCGAAGGCCCTCCCTGGCCCCAGGCAGGCAGGGGTGAGGAGAGGCAGGGAGGAAGCAACTTACCCTCCCTCTTCTCCTGCCTCCTCCTGGCTGAATGAGGGCCGGAAGCGGGGCGACCAGAAGCAGGGGGCGGGGCTTCGTCATGTGCCGTGCCCCCCGTACCTCACCCGGGGGAACTGCGATCCCCCGCGATCCCCCCCGAAATGACCTCTGCTTAGAGACCAACAAGGTTTTTTGGGGGTATAAGCTTCCAAAGTCCTGCCAACCTAGCAGTTCGAAAGCAAGAAATTGCAAGTAGATAAATAGGTACCACTTCGGTGGGAAGGTAACGGCGTTCCGTGCGCCTCAGTGTTTAGTCATGCCGGCCACACGACCACGGAAACGTCTTCGGACAGCGCTGGCTCTTCGGCTTGGAAACGGAGATGAGCACCGCAACCCTAGAGTCGGACTCGACTGGCTTTCGAGCAAGGGAGACCTTTACCTTTACCTTGTTAAGCTTCCAAAAGTCAAAGATCCCTTCATCAGATTATCTGACAAAGAGATTAGTCCGGAAGCCCCTTAGAGACGAGCAACGTTTTGTGTTTAAACTTTTGAGAGTCAAAACTTCCTTCATCTAATACGCATCTGGCAGAGATACGGGTCCAGTAGCACGTCAGAGGCCAGGAATATTTTGGGGTCTGTAAGCTTTTGAGGGTCAAAGTTCCCTTCACCAGTTACATATCTGACAACGATATGAATCCCGTAGCCCCTTAGAGACCAGCAGGGTGTCACCCAAATGGGCCTGTTGCCTGGTGTGCCAACGCCCAATGCAGGACACAACAGGGAGATTCCAGAAGTAGACCCCGGCAGCGAAGAGCCAAGGAGTTCGTTGTACTTGCATCAGCTTCTTATATAGTGAAGTAAACAACTTTTAGACATGTGCAGATGTCTTTTTTTGCTATTGAACGCGGGCATCCCTTGTACCCACACAACTATATTTTTGCCAAGCAGATGTAGCTGTCATTAAATTGCTGTCATTAAATAATGTATGTAGATAAAAGGAGCCCTCACCAATGAGGTCCTGTTCCTGTTCTTCGGTTTCAGCCAAAGCACAAAGGAGTGGAAGGCATGATAGACATCGAGAACCCCAATCGCGCTGCACAGACGGCCAAAAAAGTCACTCAGATAGATATGGAGAGCCCACGGGAACTATCGCGGAGGGAGCGGTAAGGCGGTCTCCTTCCCTTGAAACGCTGCGACTCTCGAACTGGGTGGGGGGGACCCTCTGCAGGGGCCCGGTTTGACACACACTGATCAACCGCAAAGATGCAGGCTGGAACCAGTGTTCCCTCTAAGCGCTGAGTTGGTGTGAGCTAGCTCACAGTTTTTTAGCCTCCAGCTCTCACATGTTTTGTCGCAGCTCCGGAAGGATGGCTCCGGAGCGAACTGATTAATTTTATTTATTTGTTCAACTTTTATCCCGCCATTCCGCTGAAGCAGCTCAGGGCGGCTCACGGCATTCATAAAACCAACATAGATAAAAACGTCAGTCCATGAAACAACTTGACATAAATACAATAAATATAAGTAAAAACGGTTCGGTAAATCATTACCACTAGAAATCGACCGCATTGTTCCCTACTTACACAGAATTTACGCCGTAGCCAAATCGCTCGCTCACAGCTTCAATGCCGGTAGCTCCCAAAGTTAGAATTTCTTCCTCACAAGACTCCACAGCTTAGAGGGTGCATGAGCTAGAACAGAGAAGAGAAGAGATTGGATTTATACCCCGCCCTTCACTTGGAGTCTCAGAGTGGCTCACAAACTCCTTTCCCTTCCCCTCCCCACAACAGACACCCCTGTGAGGTGGGTGGGGCTGAGAGAGCTCTGACACAAACTGCTCTTTTCCAAGGACAGCTGTGCCAGAGCTTGTGACTGACCCAAGGTCACATCAGCAGGTGCAAGTGGAGGAGTGGGGAATCAAACCCGGTTCTCCCAGGGGCGCCGAATGTATGTATGGCGCGGGTCTCAGATGGCAGCTCCTAGATGGGAGAGATGATTGGTGGAGTTGCTGTTCGCAGGCGTCTCCGCCTGGGACGTAACTGTTCCCTGAGAAAAGGACTCCGTAGCCCTGCAAATGTAGGTGATGGCTGGTCTCACTGGGAATGGACCGAACTGCCTTATCCCGAGTTGGAGCCCGGCCCATCCACCCAGTTCCGTCTCCGGTGAGCCAACAGCTCTTGGGCAGAGGAGGACTCTTCCTGGTACTCGAACTCCGTTTCAGAGGAAGTTCTGGGGACTCATCAGTGTCCTTCTGCGTGCAGTGCAGGCGTTCTGCCACTGGGCGGTGCTGTTGAGTTTGGGAAGGCTTCCTCTTTGGTGCTTCGGGAGTGCCCCAGTCACTGCAGGTTGTTACTTCTGCAAGCTTGGTGTGAATTTAGGTAGAAACTCGGGGAAGTGGTATGCAGTGCCTTTCCACATTAAGCTGCCTTTGTCCGAATCAGACCATTAGTCTGTCAAAGTCAGTGTTGTCTACTCTGCCTGGCAGTGGTCTCAGGCACAGAGGTCTCTCCCATCACCTCCGGCCTGATCCTTTCACCTGGAGATGCCGGGGATTGAACCGGGGACCTCCTGCATGCAAAGCAGAGGCTCTTCCACTGAGCCAGGGTTTCAGGCACAGAGGTCTCTCCCATCACCTCCTGCCTGATCCTTTCACCTGGAGATGTCGGGGATTGAACCGGGGACCTCCTGCATGCAAAGCAGAGGCTCTTCCACTGAGCCAGGGTCTCGGGCACAGAGGTCTCCCCCATCACCACCAACCTGGTCCTTTCACCTGGAGATGCCGGGGACTGAACCTGGGACCTTCTGCATGCCAAGCAGAGGCTCTTCCAATGAGCCAGGATCTCGGGCACAGAGGTCTCTCCCATCACCTCCTACCTTCCGTGTGCCAAGCACAATGCTCTGCCAATGAGCCACAGCCCCCTAGATGTTTTGGCAGGAGTCCGCAGGTGGTTCTCAATACTTTCTGTCTCTCAGAAGGTATTGGGGGGGGGCCACCCCCGGTGAGGGTCCCCCGGACGCTGCCCGTGTTCATTCCTAAAAGGCCCTGTGTTTTCTTGCCACCTTTTGTACTCTTGACAGAGAAGAAATTGAAAAACAGAAAGCGAAAGAACGCTACATGAAAATGCACCTCGCCGGAAAGACGGAACAGGCCAAGGCGGATCTCGCCCGGCTAGCAATCATCCGGAAACAGCGGGAAGAAGCAGCCAAAAAAAAGGAGGAGGAAAGAAAAGGTGAGGCTGCGCCACGGTATTTTGAAAAGCACACCATTTGCGGCTTGCAAAAGCCATTTAAAGGGGAAGTTCCCTTTAAATAGCTCTAGCAATTGCAAGCCACGCCACATGCGAGCGAGGGAAGATCTCAGATCTGCCCCCCCCCCCATTCTGCTGTCCTCTGGGAGTTGCGGCCAGCAGAAAAGATCTCAGCTCTCCCCCCCCCCTTCCTTTCTGCTGGCCTTGGGGAGCGTTCTCCGCGCAGGATCATCTCCTGAGAGGGCTATGTTGGGCTGCCCGGTTGAAGCCGGACTGCCTGGTAGAGCCTATGAGGAGAGAGTTCTCCACACGGGATCAGCTCCTTTGTGGGGGCTGTTTTGGGCAGTCCCTCTAGAGCTGCAAGGGAGGATCAGCTGGGGTGGTGCGGAACTCACAGCTCTGCTCTAGCTGGGGCTGGCTTGCCTGAGTAAAAGCCCCCCCAAAAATCGACTTTTATTGGACTCAGCCATATCAGTAGCCGAATACAGATCCGTATTCGGCTTAACAAATATCCGATCCGTATTCGGCTTAACAAATATCCGATCCGTATTCGGCTTAACAAATATCCGATCCGTATTCGGCTTAACAAATATCCGATCTGTATTCGGCTTAATAAATATATTTAAAAAATACCAATAAGGTATTTTTCAGGTATTTTCAGTATTTTTCAGGTATTTTCAGTTTATACCAAACGCACACCTCTACTCCCTTCCTCCCATCTGTCATGCCAGTCACATTCTCAGGAGGGTCCAGCAAGTTCAAGCCTTTGCCACATGAGCAATTTTACCCTGCTCATTCGCCACCATGTCCCTCCTCCTATAAACTGTTCTCCTTCATGGACGTGTCCTTTGCACCACCACAGTCATTTTGGCCAAACGGTACAAACGTCGGATGTGCAACCTGCTTTCCCTGTCTGCCTTTAGCAACGACCCCGGCATCCTTTCAGACTTTCCCATCTCCCTTTATCTTTCTTTAACACCCCTCAGCTAAAGACGAAGCCTCTGCGACCGGCAAACGATTGCAGTCGCTGTCCCTCAACAAGTAAGTGCGGGCCAGGCGAGAGGAGGGAATTCCCAGGAGCCGTGCCTGGCGGATGCCTGTCGGGAACTCCGCTGCATCACACCTGCGCGAGGCCGGGCGAAAAGGGCTGCGGCATTGTCTTCACCTCCAAGAGACACTGACAGCGACACGTTTGTCTTCATCCGGGCACAGAATTTCCATTGGGAGGGCAGGGGGATGGGGTGGGGAAACAGGGCGGGCAGGGGTGGGGCAGCAATCAAACTCCCGGCGCGGAATTGTCAGGAGCAGCGCTTCTCCACAGGAGCCGTTTCGAGGGGGATTCAACCCAAACGGTTTGGTTTTCGGTTTTTCTTTTGCTGTGTGTTAAGCGTACAGATCACATATCCGGGGGTAGCATGGAAAAAAGGACAGGAAAGAAAGCAGAAATGAGGTGGGGGCGGTAGACTTGGTGTGCAGATCCCAGGGGGCGGGCGATGGGGGGGTGTCTGTCCGTGGACCAACCCAGGGGGCTCGAGCTGCAGGGCGGCCAGAAAGGATTCAGAGCTGACCCGTGACGCCGCTCCTTCGGGTTTCGTTCCCATTTTACCTCCCCGCCCCCATCTTACCTTTTTGAAGGCAGTCTCTCCCCCTCCCCCCCCCTCCAAAAACCAGGATGGTGACTTTTTAATTGCAAACAACAAAAAAGAACCCACCCTTCTCGATAGCGCGACACGTTGGACAAGAAGATGCAAATTGGAAACAAAACTTGTATATTTGGCTGAATAAAGTTTAAATTATCGTAAACTTGCTCGGTCTGGGGGTTTTTTCCCCGTCAAAGAACGCGGTAGCCATTCGAATTGTGGTTTAAGAGTTGTTCCCGTGCAGGTCACCGAGATGAGAGGCCAGACAAGACTTTTCGGCCTGCTCAGGCCATGGATGTGCCCACCTCACAGGGATGATGACTCAGGAGGTTTCTTTACACCTTACTCACAGAGGTGGCTTTACTACTCCCGCTTCTAATGGGTATACTCCTTTCCTTGCATCTGTAATACTAAGGGCTGTCAAGTCGTACAGGCACGTAGCTGTGGCTTTGTGGCTTGTGGGGCAAATTTTTTTCTGCTGGGGCTGAAGTTCTCAGTGCAGAAAGAAAAGCAACTTAGCCCATAGAAAGCTGTTACCAGGATAAATCTCTAAATTGCAAGCTGTCAACCACTTCAGATGACAGTTCTCAGCTGCTGCAAGTTAATCACTTCTGCCAGCCTAAGCAGCAATTCTGAGAACAAGCCGGCCAGGTGGGGGTGATGACTTCTATAGTCAAGAAGCTAACACTGAGGTAGAAAAACTCTCTTAAAGGAGACCAGTTTCTTGACACAGAGTTAGAAGGGGTTTTAGAGGTCACCTACTCCAACCCTCTTGCTCAGTGCAGGAATTAGTCAACTACAGCACCCCACTCTGCTTAAAGGAGCACAAAAATGTTTTAAAATGATCGAAAAAAGCACAGGAGAAATTCTTGTGGGGCTGTGCCTTTAAGAAAGGGCCACCAAAAGCTACGGGCCTGTATAGCAGATTTATGGCAACCCCTCATGG